CTCTTCTCTTTTCATACTTTGCCTAAACGTTTCTTGTCATTCTGCATAATACCCTACATATCATATATACGGTGCCTTGGGAAAGTATATAACATATTAAAATGACACAAATGTTACCTTGCCTGAAAAGGGCCACGCATTCTATTGACTTCCTAGGCAATGCTACACAATGCCAACTTTCCACACATTGTCGGAATGGTATATATTTGAAAGAGCACTAAGGCTTAGTTCACACATAATATTTGGGTGTTCTGTGGTTTGAGTGCCCCCTGTTGCCTGAAACCGGCTTCTTGGTTTGCAAACAGTTCTTTTGCGCAGCTAGGTAAAGAGCCCATCCGATGGTGGTTTATGCAACCCAACATGGCTTAGGACAATGTTTGAAGCCGGCATACATTGAATGGGTGCAAGATACGAAGGCATGAGTAACGTTTTAACATGGTGGGTGGTGATCCTAAGAGCCATTTGTTCAGTGTAGCAAATAATAATAATAATAATAATAATCACAATTCAGCACATTGTCAGTTAAAGTGGTCTAAGGGCCTTTTATTCAATATGGGTCCTTGGTGCTCTCTGAGCTTGGTTTTCTTACAGACGTTTCATCACCCGACTAGGTAACATCATCAGTGCTGCTGTAGAAGGGAGTGAGGTTTATGCCATGGAGCAGAAGGAAAGGAAAAGAGGATGATAATGATGATGGAGGAGGAGGAGGAGGAGGAAGATTGTGGGGTCCTTGGTGGTCTCTGTGCTTGGTTTTCTTACAGACGTTTCATAACCCAACTAGGTGATATCAACAGGGCTAGAAGGGAGTGAGGAGATGAGGAAGAGGAAGAAGAGGAGGAGGAGGATTGTGGGTCCTTGGTGGTCTCTGAGCATGGTTGCTTTCTTGCAAACGTTTCATGACCCAACTAGGGAACATCATCCATGCCAGAAGGGGATTTCTGTTTATATACGTGACTTGCCCTGCCGGTGTTGGTGGGTAAAAAAACTAAAAGCGTCTGAATTTTGATCACGTGGCCATGACTGATGCTGCAAGTGCAAAAAAACTGCCATAAGTCGCTTCTTTTTAACGTCATTCAACCTTTGAACAGTCACTAAGCAAATGGTTGTAAGTCGAGGCCTATTTCTATATGTGGACTTCCAACTTCCAGAATTCCTCAGCCAGCCATGCTGATTGTGGAATTCTGGGAACTGAAATCCACACGACTGCGTGTCAAGATTGGGAAAGCCTGCATTAAGCCATCGATAAACCCCCTTAAACTTTTCACTAAACCCTGATTTGTGGGATGTCTGACTTCTCCCAACACGCCTGGCATGGAAACAAGATTTTTTTTTTCCTTTTCAAAAGAGGGCCTCAGGGTGTCCCCAGCTATTGGGTGACCCTCCCTGACTTATATTTAATTTCCAAATGTATGATGGGGGCCAAATTGTACAACAGACAGACAAGGTAGGACTTTCCCCCCTTCCCTCCCATGCTCCTCCCTCCCTCTTTCCCCATGTTTTGCTCCCTTCCTCCTCCCCTTCCTTCCTTCCCTCCCTCCTTCCTTCCCTCCCGCCCTCCTTCTTTCCTTCTCTCCCTCCTTCCCTTCCTCCCACCCATCTCTCCTTCCTATCTTTCCTTCCTTCCTTCTCTTCCTCCTACCCATCTCTCTCCTTCCTTCCTTCCCCTTCCCTTCCCTTCCTTCCTTTCTTCCTTCCTTCCTTCCCTCCCTCCTTCCTTCCCTCCCTCCCTCCTT